GAGAGAGGATCTCATAGCCCAGGTTGGCCTCAAAATCTCCATCCTACTGCCTCTATTTTCTGAGTGCTGGGATTACAAGTATGTCCCACTACACCTGGCTCATTTAGCAAACTCTTGTATGAGTGCTTTGTATATTGTACTGCTATGTAGTACTAGCAAAAGCATTGAGTGATTTAGCTCCCTCTAGGCACAGAACTGAAAAAGTGGAAAGAATAGATTTCTGTTGAACAAATCTCCCCTTGCCTCCCCTCCTCCCTCCTCTTTTCTCTCTCCCTCCCAATGTATGAACATCAGGCAGCACTCTGCCACTGAGCCACATCCTCAGTCTGAATTGTAGTTTCTAATTTGGAGATGTAGTCTGTGGAGACAAGTTTTAGCTCCCAGTTTCCAAGCAAGCACTAAAAACATGCAGCTTACCTATTGAAAACCATACTTTGAAAGGTGAGATAATTTGTTTTTGATAGGACTTTAATAGTCAAAATATACAAACACATGGAAGTAGAAAGCAAACTGTTTCACTAAGCAGGAGAGGTGCTGCTTGAGGGGCTTGGTCATTTGGTGTCAGCTTTATTTCCTTCCATGTCCCAGGAAAGCAAAGCAGAACTGCTACAGCTCTGTCAGTGGAGGAACAGACTGCAACATGCTGCTCACTTGCATTGTAACCCAGCTGCAGATATTTTGATAAACCCTCTGTTTATTCTGGTAAATCTCGCCCAGTTTACTGCAGACAGTTGGTGCTCAGTAAATATTGCTACGTCAGTGAAATTCCTGCTTCCCATTGACTGTTTGAACAGTGCCATCTTCAGATGTCCCCCAGACCACCCACATCACTGGGAACTGAGTTGATGTCAATGAGCATAGGTTTCCTTGTGATGCAGCTGTTGGCCTGCTCTTTCTGTGTTGTTTTATTAAGATACTCACTTTGCTGTGCTGTTCATCCATTTCAGTAAGTATGCGTGGTGCTTACTATATTGACAGGTTGTACAGCTACCACTGTACTCTGGTTTAGAACATCTCATTACCTCCAAAGAAGGCTTGTGTCCATCAGCAGCTGCTCCCCATGGCCCCTCCCTGAGCCCTGTCTAGCTGCAGTAGACGTCCTGTGTCTGTGGATTTGCCTATTGTGGACATTTGCTATGAAGGGAGTCATGCAGCTAGTGACTCTGTGTCCGGCTTCTTTCAATTAGCGTCATCCTTTCATGGTTCTTGTTGTAGGGTATTAATGTAATGATGTTTATTTATGGTTTTTGGTTTTGTTTGTTTCTTTTTTCTGTTTTTTTTTTTTTTTTTTTTTTAAAAGAAGAACCCAGGGCCTCACTCACTCACATGTGCTAGACAAGGGCTTTCCCACTGAGCCACAACCCCAGCTCTACTGTTGTTTTTTAATCTTTGTCAGATCAGGAGGTCCTTTTGGAGCTGGGAAGCACTCTGTAGGTCGTGTCATCCAGTACTCCCCCATCTTCCAAATTCAGTTGCTAAGATCAGGAAGTGATAGCGGGGCCCACACTTCTCAGCTGGACCTCCCTGGCCTAGCTTTGCATTTATAATTGGGAAGGTGTCCAGAGCTCAGTGCTGGCTGTCTAGCTAGGTATGAAACACATGCAAAGGATTTTCCACATCTATTGCCATTAGTCCCTTGAAGACAACACTAATTTTGGACAACCTATTTATTTATTTGAACTTCTAGAGAATCGAAGCCTTTGTTAAGTTTAAGGGCTCAGGGTGGTGTGCTCCAGCGCCCTCTAGTGCCAAGCTGTAGTGGTGATCATTTTCTCCTGTCATCCCCACAAAAAGGTTTCCTGTGGTTCCTTTTGATGTCTGGATGTGCAGGTGAGCAGTAGACATCTTGCCTTCTCACCTTCCTTGGGCTGAGGTTGAGGAATGTACCATTATTTCTGAGCACAGTGTCTTTGCTTTTCCTTTGGCACAAACACTGGAGTGTCAGGCCTGCCCACTGCCTTCCTCAGGACCCTTAGTTAACTGAGGTAACCCCCAATTTGTGTCAGAAGGTAAAATCAAGAGTGATTAAGCTAACGTCCTGTGCTCTTGCCTGTGTTGGCCTCTTTTCTGAAGTATTTCTTGGTATATTTTTTCATGTCCTTTTTAGAAGGGATGGGAAGATAAACATGTGAACAGTAGTTTTAAAAGCTTGAGATGGGTGGGGCCAGATATGAGGGGTACTCAGCTTTGTTCCTAGTGACAGGGGAAGTAATCACTCCACCACACCCAAGTTGTTACTTCCCCAAAGGGGGAATGTAAGAGCTTGCTGCCTTGTCACACATTCTCCTGACTGCGGGTGTTTGAGGTTGATGTCAGAGCACTTGAAGAGAGCACCAGGGGGCGCTTTCTGTCTGACTGTCAGCTCTGTTCTTTCACTCTGTTTGAGCCAGGTCCCCAGCCCTGCTCACTGCTCTTGTATCTCTAGAATTCATTTTCTGGAATTTATGAGCAACCCCCCCCACACACACAGAGAAAGGGGTGTATGGGCACCAGAGAGTGTTATTTTCCTTCTACTCTTTTCTTTCTTTCTTTCTTTCTTTCTTTCTTTCTTTCTTTCTTTCTTTCTTTCTTTCTTTCTTTCTTTCTTTCTTTCTTTCTTTCTTTCTTTCTCTCTTTCTCTCTTTCTCTCTCTCTCTCTCTCTCTCTCTCTCTCTCTCTCTCTCTCTTTCTCTTTCTTCTTTCTTTCTTTTCTTTCTGTGCTGGGTCTCAGACTTGCTAGTAAGTACAGTGTTCTAGCACTGAGCTACACCTTCGGCCCCTGAAAATGTTACTTTTCTTTTGTATTGGAGCAATAATCTAATTGTAGAATAGACTTCTATGAAAAACTACTCTAGAATTGTAGGAATAAAATACTTTTCCTTGAACTTCCAAAACATCACCCTGTTGCTTCATTGCCATGTTGCTTCTGCTGTCCGAAGCTTCTGTTGAGCTGGGCTTATACCTGCAATCCTCGCAACTCAGAAGCAGACATCAGGAGGATTGATGTTCCAGGCCATGGGATGGGTGGAGGGGGAGAAGTGAGACTCTATCTCAAAGACCCAAAATATACACACAAAAAAAAGGGCTAGCAGAGTGGCCCACATGGTAGAGTGCCTGCCTAACAAGGATGAGGCCCTAAGTTCAAACCCCAGTACCACCAAAAACAGACAAATAAATAAACAAGCTTCTGTTGAGTTTTTAAGTTGAGCAGTCTAATTTCTAGTTTCCTGTTCTCTAATAGCGCCTTTCCCATGACTATCTGTGCTCTTCTCCCGGATTTTTTGCATTTGTTGTTGTTGTTGTTTTGCAGTGCTGGGGCTTGAACTCAGGGCCTACACCTTGAGCCACACTACTAGCCCTTTTTTGTTTTGGCATTTATGTATTATTTATGTATTTATGTGGCAGAATTGGAGTTTGAATTCAGGACCTCATCTCATGCTTGCTAGGCAAGTGCTTTACCACTTGAGCCATTCCATCAGCCCTTTTTTGTGTTGAATATTTTCGAGATAGGGTCTCTTCAACCATTTGCTCCAGCTGTCTTCAAACCCTACTGATCTCTGCCTCCCAAGTAGCTAAGATTACAGGTGTGAGCCACTGGGCCTGGCAAAATGTTAGTTCATCTTTATTTTTATCTCGGTATTCATGTTGGTCTTGTCTCTGAGCGTTGGAAAATGTTTTCTCCAGTAGCCGGCACACAGCTGATTATATAAATACCTGTTAGAAGCAGGGCAGTGTTGATTGACACTCAGACACTGACTTGAACAGCTTATGTTTTCTGCTTTTTTTTCCTCTTTGGGGAGGGGGCAGTTCTGGGGTTTGAACTCAGGCCTCATATTTGTTAGGTAAGTACTCTACCACTTGAGCCATGCCCCCAGCCCCATTTTTGTTTTTGGTAGACATCACCAAAGAGCCCTCCAGAAACATTCTCCCCTGTGCATCCTCATTAACATAGTATGAGAGTCGGTGCCAGGTTCTGCATTTGTGATAGTAAGGCATAGTGTCCATTTACTAGGCAGGTGCTCTGCCTCTTGAGCCATGCCCCAAACCTCGTGTTTTCCGTTTCTATACTATTTAGTTACAGGTTATTTTTTATTTATTTCTGTTGTGACTGGGATTTGAACTCAGGCCTTCATGTTTGCAAAGAAGGTATTCTACTGCTTGAGCCATACCTCCAGTCCGTTTTGCTGTGGTTATCTGGAGATGGTGTCTTGGGAACTATTTGCTCAGGCTGTTCTTGAACCTCCATCCTCCCAGTATTAGCTACCAAGTAGCTAGGATTACATGTGTGAGTCACTGATGCCCAATTTGCAGGCTATTTTTAGTTACATGCTTGTAAGGTTCCCAGTAAGTTAGTAGGCTGTAAGCTACGTTAGAGTGGAGGAGCCACAGCTCTGCTTTCATTTTACCCTTGGTCCTAATTGTAGCATGTGGCATTCAGTGCTGGACTGTGTGGAGATCTCTGAGTGATTCTTATCAGTGCCTGGCTTTGTGAGGCTCCCGGAGCACATGAACTAGTGAGCACTAGTGTATGCTTGTGCATCATGTTCAAATGCAGTTTTTAAAATAAAAATACACGTGTGTGTTTGAAGCTCACTAATCAGAATCATTTTTGGATTTCCCTTCCCTCTTGAGCCTGTTTTCTGCTTGCTGTAGCATTGGCAGGAAGTGGAGTCAGTGGAAAGCAGAACGGAGGTGAAAAGGGGACTGGAAGAATGGGTGACCCAGAACATTTCCCCCGCAAGCAGGACTGCAAGTTGTATACACAACTGGCTTGTTTCCACATAAGCTTTATCGTTCCAGAGTGTTCTTAGATAGTTGATGGAAAAATTAGCTAGTGTTGGTTGTAATTAGGAAATCCCGCTGGAGAAATCTCAATTTGCAGCCTCTCCGTTTGTTTACTGGAGAAAGGACTTAGGGATTCTGACCCAAGCGTTTCATAGGCTTGTTATAATGTATAGCATTTTGGGGAAAATAAATAACTTGTATGTTTTATGTGATTGATACTTTCTTATTTTTTTCAGTATATTTTTGGAGATTTTAGCCCTGATGAATTCACTCAGTTCTTTGTGACTCCTCGTTCTTCAGTTGAGGTAAGACAAACTATGCAGTTGTAATTAATGTTTGTGTTTCCATTTCAATTTTTAAATTTGTTTTTAATGAGGAATTCTGATGCACAGAGCAGTAGAGAGACCGCTAGTAGGAGAAATGCCGCACTTGCCATCTAGAGTTGGCTGGTGTTACCATCTTGTTGTGTTTGCTCTGGACTTCTAAAGAGCAAAATAAAACATTGCGTGCACAGGTGAAGCCTGTGTTGCCGCTCTCTGTCTCATTCCCCTCTGTCCCCAGAAGTAGCCTTTACCTTTTATGTGTGGATGCACATCAGATGTTTCATGTGCTTAAATACCGCGGGAACAACACACTGTGGTCATCCTTTTGTGGTTCATGTTTACCTGCTCTTGTTTTTTGATTTCAGTTGCTCAGTGCTTGGGTCAGATGTACCACAGTTGAGTTATGTGTTTTCCTGTTAAGGACTGTGACGTGTCTGGTTCAGCTAATTAAAAATGTTAGAGTACACATCCCTTGTCACAGCTCCTTATGCTGCCCTGTGCCTCTCTGGGAATGGACTAGGGGCTGGAACTTTTGGGTTCTGTAGGGCTGAGCACCCCTAGCTTTACCAGAGGCCATTTGCCTACTCTCTAGGTTTTCCAGCCTGCCTTCCCTGCAGTGGTGCACCAGAGTCGTCTTGCTCTTGTTTCTGAGAAGATCCTCACTAATAAGAGGATAGTGAGCGTGTGCTCCTCACTAATAGGATCAGATTTTTTTTTCATCTCGTGTGATAATGGATTCTCATTGACTGAGTACACATTTCCCAGATGACAAATGGTTGAGCACTGTTTCATTATTTTTCATGTCTGTGCATTACTTGATCTGTATCTCTCGTGTATGTGTATTTTTCAATCGAGTGGTTTGTCTATTTCTGTCCTTAGTTGTCAGGCCAGCCCTGTCAAGCAGCACAGCTCCAGGTGGGGCCGTGTTCTGTGGGCCTGTGCATGTCTGTATGCCACACATCAGAATTGCTATAGCTTTAGAGTCAGTCCTCTGGTAGAGCTGGCACCCTTTTGTCATCCTAACCCACTGGTGTTTGTCCTGAAAACCTTCATTCTTTGTTGCAAATATGTGATTCCATAAAACCTTATTGAAATTTTGGCTAGGATTGCATTAAATTACATCCTAATTTGTAGGAGAATTAACATCTTTATGGTGATGAGTTTTCCTGAAAATGATTGGTATATTTTATTATTCATTCAGGTCTGTGCGTGTGTGAAGTTAACCCCAGGGCCTCATGCATGCTGGCAAGCATTCTTCCACTGAGCCACACCCCCAGCACATTACTCCCCCTCCATCCAGCCCTCCCAGGACTTTTGTGACAGGCTCTCACTGTGTGCTCCAGGCTGGGTTTGGATTTGAAGACCTTCCTCCCCAGAGCTTGTATTGCAGGCCCACTACCATGCCTGGCCCAGGGCTTCTTCTAAGATGTCTGCTCTTATGGCTGGCGGCATGCCAAACACAGGGCCCTGAGTTCAAGCCCCAGTACCACCAAAAAAAAAAGTCCACTCTGTGTGATTAGTAATCTCTGTTTCTAAATACTTACCTGGGGTATTTTTTCAGGTTTGTGTTTTAAATATGAAGCTGTTGAGGACTGGAGTGGGACCAAGTTCAGTTCCAAGATGAGATGGGTGTTGGGATGGGACAAAAACCCCCAAACAAAACCAAAAGCTATTGAAAGAGGAAAAAAGGGGAGAAGTGTGTATCAAGTAAAATCTTAGTGAACTTTTTTTTTCTGCAGTACCGAGGCTTGAACTCAGGGCCTACACCTTGAGCCACTCCACCAACCCTTTGTGTGTGTGTGTGTGGTGTGTGTGTGTGTGTGTGTGTGTGTGTGTGTTTTAGGTATTTTCGGGATAGGTCTCTTGAACTATTTGCCAGGACTGGCTTCGAACCTCAATCCTCCTGATCTTTGCCTCATGAGTAGCTAAGATCACAGGTGTGAGCCACCAGCACCCAGCTCTTAGTTCACTTTTAATGAAGCCTCGCTAGCCCTTTGGATCTTTAGCTGATAAATGCAAGCGTTATGTTTGAGTGTACATTAACTTTTTATGTGTGGAATTCTTCTATTGAGTAAATTGGGAAGGGTGAGCTAACCCATTAGAGAAGGAGTCAGAGGCCAGGGCTGTGGTCTGGCTGGATCATTTCCATGTGACCTTGGCAAGTATACACCCTCTACACCTTAGCTGCTTAAATTCTAAGCTGCCCCTGCCCTCCCCCCCTCACCCCCCCGCCTTTTTTTTTTCTTAGAGTTGTGTAGGTGATTTAGCTTATAAACATGTAGAAAGATTTATTGCTTGTTTTTTCTTTCACATTGTTTATTTATTTGTTTATTTTTGGTGGTCCTCAGGTTTAAACTGAGAGCTTCTTGCTTGCAAGGCAGGTGCTCTTATTGCTTGAACCATTCCACCAGCCCTTTTTTGTGTTGGGATTTATTTCAAGATAAGGTCTCACAAACTGTTTGCCCCAGCTGACTTTGAACCTCGACCCTCCTGATCGCTTCCTCCTGAGTAGCTGGAATTACAGGTGTGAGCACTGGTGCTGAGCAGCCAAGAAGCATCTTATGTGTGGCAGAGATTTGTTGAATGAGCAGTGCCTCATGCTTAAAGAATAGAAACAGTCACACAGTGCTGAGACCCTTTCCAGCACTTGGTACTTCTCACAATTACACTGTTTTCAGATTGGCCATCAGTGACAGAAAGTGGCAGCATTGCCCCAGAATTCAGTGCTGGTCAGTAACTGTGTCCTTCCTGTACCAGTTGTGGCTGTTTGTCCTGGAGCAATCACCTGGCTTGCATATCTGATGTCTCCGAGGTCACTGAGGAAGAGGAGGATGTGTGGCTAGTGTGCTGGGAGCACTTGGCAGTGTTGCCTAATGTCACTCACCCATCTTCTCAGTCAGCACTTTCTAATGTTACATAGCTCTTCATTACTATGATAAAATGCCTGAGGCCTTGTCTGGTGCTGGCCTTCTTGCTGGAGAGGCCCAGGAAGAGCGGGGCCTCTCTGTGTCTGCATCTGGTCCCTGATCCTCTTACAAAGTCACAAGGATTGAATCATGGGGCTTTCACCCTAATGGTTAGTGGTCCTAATCACTGTCCAGAGGCCTCATTTCTAAACACCATAGTCAGACTAAGTTTCCATGCTCTAAATACATTGTATGACTTTCAGGGTTAAACTGCATGACCTTGGTGGGGGTTGGGGAGCACAGACAATTCAAACCATAGTACTCACCCCTCCTCTCAGTCAACACTGTCTGTGTCACTATCCTGTCTTCTCAGTTGTCTGGCGTCTGTCATTTCTGTCCTTTCAGCTTTATCTGTTGTCCCTGGTCCATCTTCTCCACTTGCTTGTTCCAACTTCAACCTCATCCACTGGTTCTTCTGAATTGATGAGGTTTTTCTTGTGGTCTGTGATTGAGACGAGCCTTGCCTACCCTTGAATGTTAAATGTGTGACAGTTACTAGCACAGTTCTGACAGCACTCTTCTTAGGGTTAGGGTTTGAGGTGAGTTAGTGCTGAGGTCTCTTCCCCATGTGTGTCTTCCCAGCCTCCCACTTCACTCAGGGCTGAAGATTTTCTTCAGTACACTGTTCCTCAAGGACAGAATACAGTAAGTGTGAAGAGAACTTTGCTGTTCCGTGTGGGATTATGAAACTGTTTTGGCTCAGAGAAAGATGATTTCTTGATGTGAAAGTGATTTTTGTGTACAGTGATCCTGAATGCTTTTGTGCCTCAAAAGTAGAGGCTTCTGACTCTAGGGGCACCCTAGTGTCACTGACAGGGAAAAAGCAGGCATTCTGTGTACCATTTCTAAGCTGCAGAATGACAAGACCAGGCTTCATGGCTTCCCCGGACACCACTGTGCCCATTTCCCGGGATGCACACACCTGCCTCTGAATTTGCAAGTACAGCCAGCCTCGGCCACAAGGTGCTGTGTCACTGTGCTGAGTGCTGCAGTGCCCCCTGGTGGTGGAAATTCATTCAGTGCCAGGTTCTGAAGGTGTTGGGTTCTTGGTTTTCGTTTCTTGTTTGTCATTAGTTTCTTGGTAGAGAACTTACTGGGTTACTTGGGAGATAAACTTGCCTCTGCAATTATCTAATTGGCTTTCTATGAATTCTTTGGAGACATTGTCCGAGGAAGCCACTGAAATTGCAGCTCTCAAACATGGGTGTGAGACCCGCCTGGGAGCCTCAGCTTGGCAGGCCTGGGCCCCTGAGAGTCAGTCCAGGCCCTGCGCCTTTGCCCTTTGTCCTGCGTGGTCTGCAGCAAGCAACGTGGAGATGTGCTGCACCAAGATTTTTTTTGGAGGTGGGGAGGTAATGCTGGAAATTGAATTGGGGTTTGCAAATGCTATGCAAGCCCTCCACCACAGGGCTGTGTTTCTGGTCCTTGGGGTTTTGTTATAAGGTCTTCATATATAGTCCAGGCTGACCTCGAACTTGCAGTCCTCCTTCCTTTGACTCTGGAATATTGAGATTACAGGTGTGCATTATCACCTCATTTTTTTTTGTTGTTGTTGTTACTGTTCTATCTTTAGGGAGCTGTCATCTGTCTACTTACCTTTATCCCTTCTCCTAAGCCTTCTTATCCCAAACATGTCCACCTTAAATACATATGGACCAGCGAAGAACTATTTGAGAGATTCATAGCACTTTTCTGCTTTTTAAAGTTTTATTTTATTTATTTTTTGTGGTATTGAAGATTGAATCTAGCAAGGCAAGTGCTCTACTACCTGGGCCCTGCCCCCCAGCCAGCCCTTTTGTTTTTAGGATCTGTTTATTTATGATAAATATCTGATCTTTGTCCCTTATGTCAGATGAAGGTGATTCCAGGTGTGTCATTATGATAAAGCAGTGTCTTTCAGAGCTTCGAAGGTAGAGTGCTCAGGAAAGTGGCCTGATGCAGTAGTGTGCATTGGGTGTCACCATTGTGTGGAATTAAACTTTGTTTTCTGATTCCTTGCACAGCTCCCTCCCTACAGTGGATCGCCTCTGTGTGGTGCACAGGCTACAGATGACCTGCCGGATGGTAAGCTGTCTTTCTTTGTTTCACACTGAGTTCTGGCCATGTGTGTTGGGCGGTGGGTGATCTGCAGACATTGTCTTCCTGGTGCTTCATTCTTTTTGAATCAGCCTTTCCTTCCAGCTTGACATTCTTGGAGTGAACTAAAGCATTAACTCACAGCATTGTCTGACTGCTGGATGTGCTGTAAAGCTGGTGCTAGCTATCAATAGGCTGACCATCGAGGTTCTCAAATCAGTATTTTCTTAGCAGCTCTCAGTGCTGCGGATGTTGCAGGTGTGAGCCCCATCTCTGAAGGGCTTCCTTGTCCTGCTGCTGGGGAACCTCCTGGTCCCAGGCTGTTGGGCTCTGGGCTGGGGACTGCACAGCCACGACAGTTTGCAGCTTTGTTCTTGCTGTTTATATTCATGTCTCATGTCACAGGCCTCCTGGGGATCCAGGTAACATCCTCACCCCCTAGTCTGTCCACTTTGGCCTGTCACAGATCTGGCATGATCATGGGGATGGTGCTTACTAAGACCAGACATCTTTGTGTTCAGCACCAGGGTTGAAATGGTGGCCATGCAGCCTTGCAGGTACTCACTAGCCTCCAAGAAGCAGAGAGAAAAACCTTTTTTTAAAGAGCCAGGGATTGGATTCCCTGTTCCGTTGGCATGGTCAGTCATGTGAAGGGGTTTAGTTATATTTTAGGTTTATATGTGAGCTTCAAAACCCAAACCTTTATCCAGTCTCATCTGAAAGTGGTTATATCTCAAGTTATTAGCAGTTTGAACAGAGGACCTTAAAGGAAAGAGCAGATCTAGTAATAGTTCAGGATAATTAATAAGCTGAATGGAGCTCTAGGGACCCCAAAGCCTCCTGAGACACTCTCCCATTGCTAGTGTCAGACCCAGGTGCCCTGGGTCTGTGCAACTTCCTTCTGCCGCTACTCTGCATGTAGTGAGCATGTAGCAGACCTCTGGTGCCTGTGATAGTCCTTCGTTTCCCTTCTCTCTTCTTTCTTTCGGCTTTTGTTAGTGATCTCAGCGTTGGCCTCACACCTACCCTCAGTATTCAGGCTCTGAACTCTCTTGTCCACTCCAGACTGGCATCCCTTTGCAGTCACTGCTTCTTGTTTTTTCTTCCCTCTGTCCATCTTTTATTCTGCTGGAAACCCTGGAATCTCCCCCGCCCCTCTCTCTGAGGTCTTTAGTTCTCTGCTCTCTTTACTTCTGTCCTTTTGCAGGGCCTGCCCTACGCTGTGGTAATGACGGTGCCCTTTTACACTGTGCCCCGCTGTTGATGGCAAGGACCATGTTGATTTCTGAAATGTCTGTCAGCTGTGTGGCACAGATGCGGAGAGTTTGTAAACCCTCAGTACGTTTGTGGGATGAACAATTTCAAAGACTTTGTTCTGCTACCTCCCACCACAGGCAGCTAAGCTGCAGCATCCCCCCCTGTAGGCACCTCAGCACAGCAGGTACATTTTGTACTCCTGCCTCTTACAGGTTTCATGTAGTCTTTACTCGCCTCCCATCCAGTCATACTTCAACTTCCACTGACTTAACTAATTGTAGCTTCTCATGGAGGCCGACCACCTTTTCATGTGTTCAGCAGTATTCTTTTGATGAAGCTCTTCACAGCCTTCCCTTGTCCTCCTTTGGCACTGTCATCCACAGTCATTTGTTTGTCTCAAGCAAGGACCTTGCCTTATTATCCTCTCTGTTCTCCCTTGGAGGCCTCCACCCCCTGCTTTGAATCCCGGGCCACTGCACTGTTATTGCACTGAGAACCCTTAGAGAATTGCTACCTTAGAATGCCAGTGGTTTCAGATGCTTTTGCCCAGGGTTGGCCTTACACTGTGACCCTCCTTCCTGTGGTAGCCTCCTGCATAGCTGAGACCACATGCAGGTGCCACCATGCCTGGTTTTTTGATTAAGATGGATTCATGCTAACTTTTTGCCCAGACTGGCCTCCAGCCATGACCCTCCCCATCTCTGCCTCCCCAGGAGCTGAGATTACAGGTGTGAGCCACAACACCTAGCCCTGGATGCTGATGTTTTATCTGAGATTGTTCTCCTTCCCTTCATCAAACCTTCTGCTTGTAGGACCTAAGTATTGAGTTCCTATCTTCCCAGTGCTTCACCTGGGCTGCTAAAAGCCACTCTCCCCTGCTCCTACAGCCAGGCAGAGTGGGCTGTCTGAGTGTTATTACCGTGCAATGCCCGTATGTCCCCCCAAGAGCACTCCTCCATAAGAGGACCTGTCCCAGCCAGGAGCCTGCCTTCCAGTTATTTGGTCACATACCTGCTGGTTGAATGTTTTGGCAGTGGCTGTAATGTATTGGAACAGTGTCATATCACATTCTAGAATGGTTCGTGTGCTCATAAGGCTGAGAGTTGAAAAGTAGAAGATGCTGTGTCTGTTGGAAATAACTAGTCTTACGTTAAGTGGCCCAACAAGTTGTAATGTTGTACACCACAGTGTACACCAGTCACAAGGGATCCTTGGTGTGTAGTGTTCATGTCTTCAGCCCATGTGGCACTGCAGTTCCAAACCATCATGGAGCAAAGCAGTGAGCAGTCAGTCAAATCACATAGAAATTCATTGTTTTTTGTAATGCTTTCCAACATAATGAGACATAAAATAAATACTTGAGTGGAGGGGTCAGGGGTAGCTTTACAGGAAAACATTCTGTTAGTCAGTCATAGTGTTCTCTTCTAAGACCTTTCTTATGTTGTGAGCTGGATTTCAGTGCCTCCCTGCCCCTCATCCCCCATTCTAGCTTGGTTATCAGAACGAATGAAAACTCAGGTCTGGACACACTTTAGGCCCCTGTTCTCCACCTTCCCACTGTAACTGGTATGTAACTGGCCTTCTCTGGTCTATACTTGTTCTTGCCTCATAAGACTTAAGGCCAGGCATTGTGGCTCATACCTGTAATCCCAGCAGAGATCAGGTAGATTGCAGTTCAAAGCCAGCTCAGGCAAACAGTTAGTGAGACCACATTTCAGTGAGCATAGTGGTGGCCACCACCTGTGATCCCAGCTACTTGGGAGACCATAAGTAGGAAGATCATGGTCTGAGGCCAGGCTCAAGCAAAAACTGGAGACTCCTCTACCTGAAAAATAACTAAAGCAAAAAAAAAAAAAAAAAAAAAAAAAAGTTTGGGGCATGCTCAAGTGGTAGAGTGCCTGCCTACCAAATGTGAGGCCTCGAGTTCAAACCCCAGTACTGCCAACCCCCTCAGCCCCCTGCAAAAGCAAACAAACAAACAAAACAATAAAGGACTTTTAAGCACCATTCTTGGGCCATTATGATTCTTTTCTTGAAATGTGTGCCTTGAGAAAATTGCCCCCATAGTGACTTGAAGAGATCTTGACTTATGTGTGAAAAAGGAATCCTAAGGCACCTGTCCTTTTTGTATTTTAAATTCCTTCCTTCCTCCCTCCCTCCCTCCCATTTGGTAGAACTGGGATTTGAACTCATGGCTCTGAACTTGCTATGCAGGCACTCTACCACTGTAGCCTCCATCCCCGCGCTCCAAATTTCTAACCTTCTCGTCAAACATGAAATAACACTGATGCTCCCTGAAAGCTGAAGAACATGGTTCTAGTATCCATCCTAATTTCAGAGATGTGAAGTCATAAAAACATGCACCTTAGCAGAGGGAATTTGGTTAACTATAGGACGACATTGACGGCCTCCCAGGACAGTGGAAAGCCCAATCCTAACTTTGTTACCATTGAGAGTGCCTCCACCACCCATGCAGTCAGTGCCACGTGACTCCAGTCAGTGGACAGGCATTCCATTCATACAACTGCCATTTGCAGATTCGGGTAAGGTGTTCAGTGGAAGACACCAAGAGGAGGACACTGGGCTACATCAAGGAAGCCGACTGTGAGGCCTCTCTAATAGAGAAGCCATGTGTCAGTGTTTCAGTTCTCAGTCATCATGACTTTTTAAAATTACCTTGTCCTAAGTATGCACCTTCTTCCAAGCATAAAGTCGCTTTTCATCAGGAGGCCCCGTGCCTTTTTTCTCTTCTTTCTTTCTTTCTCTTGGTGGGCCTTGGGTTTGAACACAGTGCTTCATGCTTACAAAACAGGTATTCTACTGCTTGAGTCACATCTCCAGTCCTGTGCCTGTTTTTTTTTTTTGTTTGTTTGTTTGCTTTTCTTTGTGGCACCAGGTAAGCATGTGCTCTACTACTGACCTATGCCTCCAGCCTAAGAGGGTATTTTTAAATAGGCAAAATACTATTTATTTTATTTATGTTTGGTGGTACTAGGGTTTGAATTCAGGGCCTCACTCTCACTAGGCAGGTACCCTACCACTTGAGCTACTCTGCCACTCCTTTTTTTTGTTGGGTATTATTATTATTATTTTTTTTACAGTACTGAGGCTTGAACTCAGGGTCTTCACCTCGAGCCACTCCATCAGCCCTTTTTTTTGTGTTGAGCATTTTCAAGATAGGGTCTTGAGGAACTATTTGCCTAGGCTGGCTTCAAACCACGATCCTCCTGATGTTTGCCTCCTGAGTAGCTGGGATTATAGATGTGAGCCACTGGGGCCTGCCTCAAAAAACTATTTTTCACTTCAAGTTTATGTTAGCATCTCATCTTTGAAAGTCTTCATTAGCTTTCCAGAGACTTGAAGGTAGATGCAGGCTTCTGTTTCTCATTTCAGTAGTGTTTTTTTCAACACAGAGACGGGTTTTTTTTTTTTTTTTTTCTTTTGTGGAACTGGGGTTTGAACTCAGGGCTTTGACTCTAGTGCTCGAGCCATATCTCTAGCCCAAAACAATATATTAAGAATTTCGAAAAGAAAATGAGTGATTATTGGTCCTTTTATAGTTTTTAGAGCTGTGTTCTTAACTGATAGGATATCTACTAATTGTTTTCTTTCTAAACAGGACAAGAATATCAGAGAATTGAGTTTGGTGTTAATGAAGTAATTGAGCCCAGTGGCACTTTGCCCAGAACCTCCAGCTACGGTATTTCAAGCACATTGAACCCTCAGGCCCCTGAATTTATCCTTGGCTGTGCAACTTCCAAAAAGGCTGCTGATGGCATAGATAAAGAAGTTAGCTACAGCTCCATCGACTGCCAGTACCCAGGCTCTGCCCTCCCGTTGGGTAGCAGTTCCAGTGCAGAGGTCGAAGCTTTGGAGCATGATGGGGTCTCCGGCGGCCTTGGACAAAGGGAGCGCAAAAAGAAGAAAAAGCGGCCACCTGGATATTACAGCTACCTGAAAGATGGCACTGATGAGAGCGTTTCCCCAGAAGCCCTGGTCAACGGCCATGCCACTTCAGCAGTCCCAAACAATGTCTGTGTAGAGGACGCAGAGTTTGTGGGGGATATGCTCACATCGGTTTCGCCCAGGACTTGTAACAGCCCCCAGAACGCCATGGACTTCATCAGTGACACTGTGCCTGACAGCCTGTTCCCAGGAGCTCTGGACGGTGATGCGAGGACTGCAGGGGCGCCTGGGGGCTCCCCTGAGACTGAGTGTGAGCAGCCCTGCCTCCCTGCAGATGGCCTGCTAAGGACAGCTGTGCTACAGCCATACGCTGGCACCCATACTACTGAGAACCTTCCAGTCACTAATGGGCAGATACTTGAATCCTCAGGCGAGGGCACAGCTGCCAACGGTGTGGAGTTGCACACAGTGGGAGGCATAGACATGGACCCTGTCAAGCCAGAGAGCGCAGGCTCTGCGTCGAGCGCCATTCCCACTAGCCAGCCCACCAAGTCCTGGGCCAGCCTTTTCCACGACTCTGTGCCCTCTTCCTCCTCGCCCATGGCGTATGTGAAAACTAAGTGTTCCCCTCCGGCTCCATCTCCCCTGGTCTCTGAAAAGCAGGTTGAAGTCAAAGAAGGGCTTGTTCCAGTTTCAGAGGATCCTGCAGCCATCAAGATTGCAGGTATAGTTAAATAGGATCAAGTCCAGTGGAGGATGAGCACATCTCACCATCTGGGGTTGCCCGCTCATGTGGACTGTTAGCCACTAAAAGTAAGGCTATATAAAAACAAAACGGGGGCTGGAGTCGCCCTTCAGGTACAGTGCTTGCCTAGTGTGCACATGGCCTGGGAGAACAAGAGGGAGGAGGGGTTAAGTAGCATCCATCTGTCTTTGAGTCCTTTTCTATTGACAAATTCCATTTCTTGCTTTTTGATCAAATAATTCTGTTCCATTGTTGAACGTGTGGCAAGCTTATTCCGTGTTATACTTGTTATTTGTACTTTTCTAAGGTAACCCCCAGCTGGTGCTCGCTTTCTACTATTTCTTTTTTATACTTCTTAAGCTTTAAGAAGGCATTTTGTGACTAGTACAGCCCTTTTCACTTTGGTGACTTTCTGTTGAAGAGGTGCTATTGACAGGAAAGAAAAATACGAGTTCAGCCCAAGATTAATGTTTGAATTCACAGTAAATATAGAAAGCAGCATAACTAGCAGTCACAGACTGTGTTTAAGAGAGAGTAGGAAGTCAGGATGACAGGAACAGCAGGACTGAACCCCACATCCCCTTTTCTTTGCTTGTTTAGAGACAGGGTCTCAGTGTCTATCCCAGGCTGGACTTGCATTTGTGAATCTCCCACCTCAGCCAACTGCTGGGATTACAGGCATGCACCACCCTGGTCTTCTTGTGCAGTGCTTTCTGTTTGGACATTTCAGAACACCTGACAGTGTTCGTTACCAGGTGCAGTAGCAAGCTGCAAAGTGCATAGCCTTTATGAGTACTCAGAATTCTATCAGAAATAAAAACATGTTCTTTTGATAGTAGGGGGATAGCAGCTCGTAATGTTTTTTAAAAAGGGAACATTTATAGCTAAGTGTGCTGGTGCACACTGTGATCCCAGCATCCAGTAACTGAGGCAGGAGGATCGTGAGTGTGAGGCCTGCCTGGCTAATAGCAAGGGTAATAAGATCTTCTCTTATTAAAACAAAACAAACAATAACAACATTTTATTCCTTATACGAAATACATTCTGAATAATCTTGGTGTTCTGGAGGCCTCTTAAAATGGGAAAAGAATTCGGAGGGCACCCTTTGTGTGAGTGTGTGTGTGTGTTGTGTAGTGTAGTGTAGTGTAGTGTATGTGTGTTGTGTATGTGTGTGTGCCACAATGGGTCTGATTTTTTAATGTATGTTTTATAGATTTCTTTTGGAATATATTCATCGCAAGAGCCCACTTCCACAAAGAGTTGGCCTTTGTATAGATTAATACACAATTTTATTTATTTTTAACCTGTAACTCAAATTGCATGGGGGGGGGGCGTGTTTTTAAAATGTGCATTCTGAGTTCAGAGTCATGAGAGCATTTGTTTCCTGAAAGTTACTTCACAACGGAAACCTCCTATCCTTGAGAAATTTTCTCATTCTTATTTAAAATAAGACAGAAAAACTTAACAAAATTTTTTTGGAGCATTCTACCCAGTCTTAGGAGTTTAAATGTGTCTGCTGTGTTCTGCCTGTGATGAAAGTGGACAGTTCACATGCTGTGTAACATGGCAAGTAGATACCTCCTGCCTACTTGAGCCAGTACAGGGGAGTGTTGCCACGCAGCCCAGCCATGCAGACACAGTTACTGTTAGTGGGTGCCCTAGGTGCCTGCCTGCCTTCTCCAGCACTTACTTTCTTAATCCTGTGTTGATTAGGCAGTTAGAAAGGTTTGTTAACTCTTCTTTAGAAGTATCATTCTTTTGAGCCTGCTTGTTGACAGTTTTCAGCATTGCTCCTGTATCCATACTGCTGGGGTCATCCAGGGCTTGGGGAAAGGGGGATTGTTTGGAATTGTTCTCTTTTCATCATATTGTACGTGTGGATTTCTGTAAAGAAATGGCGAGATATATATACTCAGTGTGTCATAAGTCGAATTTCAGTACCACAGTTTCCCCATAATGGCATACTTTTAAGTATAGAACTACTTTAAAAAATTAATTTAAAATCAATTAATTAAAATTATTATTTTTATTATTTTTTGGGAGACAAGTCTGGCTATGTAGCCCAAGTTGGCCTTGAACTTTTGACTGTCTTAGCCTCCCAAGTGCTGGTATTGCAGGCATGCTCCACTGTGCCTTAACCTATTTATTTAAGCAGCATTTAGCTGAGTAAAGTTCTATTTCCATTAAAACATATTTTTATGTTGGTTATAAGAGAATTTGACTTTCTTAGAGTCTAGCTGGTTCTACTCTGTCACTATGTTAACTTTTGGGAAAGAGGGAAAGAGAAGGATTTATCACACATCTCTTCTGATTTGAATTCTCTTCTCTGGGTAATATCCATAGTCAGTTTTTTATTCCAATTTGTTTTAAATGTTCATTTTTCTGGATCATCTCCCCTGTCAAGAAGTCTGCTTAATTAAGTGCCAACTTACTGTTTTCTAAACAAAAGAGAAATACAAAGTAGGAAGGAAATCAGTTGTAAGAGAAGACTAGGGATGGCACATCGGGCCCCCTTCCATTCCTGCCTTTGCACTCACCTCTTGGTGCCAGGCCATCTCCTCTGTGCAGCTTATCCCTGTCCTCAAAGGTAAGAGGATTTGAGGGGAGAGCTGTTAACCCTCCCCCAAAAGAAGTGTGAATCTAAGCAAATAGGCATGCTGGGGGGAGAGGGGTCTAGTGTCAGCTTGCTTACACCTCACTCTTAGAGGCATTATGGCTGTTTTTCATTGGGAGTAACTCAGGCAGGAAGGGGGCAAGAGGAAACAGACTCTTACGTAGTCTGTGTTTTACAGTGACTGCTGTCCTCTGGCGTGAGGGTGACAGGTGCACAAGTTGAAGGGCCATTTGCGCTGCTGCCTTTCTCCACCAGCACAGACACCAGAGCGAACAGCACATGTGATATTTGACATAAAGTGTCTGCTTCTCATCAATACTAAACCTCTTCTGGGGTTTTACTAAACTGTTATCAAATCAGCCAAAGAACACAGAGCTATTTTGCATTTCATGTCTTTCTTGTTTTTTGCTGAAACTGAGGTTTGCATTCCTGGCTTTGAATTTGCAAAGCAGGCGCTTTCCTGCTTAAGCCACACCTCCAGTCTGTTTTGCTCTGGTTATTTTGGAGATGAGGTCTCATAAACTAATATCCTGGGCTGAGCCATGATCCGCCTGATCTCAGTCTCCCAAGTAGGTAGGATTACATATGTGAGCCATCGATGCCTGGCTTGTATTTTGTGTTTTTAATCATGCATCAGCTGGGCAAAAGAGAGACTGGATCAAGTGCCCAAATAAAATTCCAATGAAAAAGAACTAGGTAAACCAAGTCTTGGGCAACTCCCAAATCATGCTGCCGAAGTCTCTCTGCCACGTTGTAGACTGGGCTAGGTGGTGTGTGATGGTCACAGTGGCGTCTGCCAGAGGACTCCATCTCCACGTTCACATGGGTTTTCAGTGTAAGTGACAATGCGCCGGCCCTAGGACTGCTGCTCTTTGTTCTGGTGGGTTCTAAATCATGTCATGCTTGCCCCCTTTGTGGGAAATGTCCTCAAATATTTTGCCTTCTTCCTAAAATTCTCAAGTAGCAAAGGCAGTGATAATGTAATGTGCTCCTGCCTGAAAAGGCCCCCTGGTGGTAGGTCGCTGGTTCCATGTGTGTGTCCTGGCTGGTCTGTGTCTCTGTGGAACAGAACTGATCTGAGACCTTTGTTTGGTACGTTTTGGTCACCTTGCTGTCCTCCACCTAGTTAGGAACTAAAGCAGGATGTTAAGCACCTTGGGTTTTTTCTCTTTCAACAGGTTGAACTTGAATTCAGTCTTTCAGTGTTTGTGCTTTTACAAAAGTGGAGGTGCTGGTTTCAGTTTTGTATCTTTTATGAGTCATTTTGGCGTTTCTCACTACTCTATAAACACAGTTCTGGCCAGCCTCACTAACTCTCAGGAGAAAGATGGATTGGGGGACCGTGCTTCCAACGTCAGCTCTTTGAGTGGACTTAAGTGATAAATGACACCAGCAGTCAGCAGTTGAAAAGAATGCTTCTGTGACAAGTTTGCTATTGTAGTCCACTGCTAGTCAATTGCCCTAAAGGAAGATACAATAGCTAAGCCAAGTTCCAACCTCACAGGTACCCTGCCTTCTGTCCTGTGTGGTCACCCTTCCTCATTTTGATTCTTTTGACTTCCATGATAATAGTGTTTATTGGATGTAGGCTTGGAATAAGTGAAGTATGCAAGTAGAATTCACTCTTGGTTAGAGTCCCCTCAGTGAGCTGGGCACCAGTGGCTCACACCTGTAATCCTAGCTATTCAGGAGGCAGACATCAGGAGGATCACAGTTTGAAGCCACCCTGGGCAAGTAGTTCAAGAGACCCTATCTCAAAAAACCCATCACCAAAAAGGGCTGGCAGAGTGGCTCAAGGTGTAGGCCCTGAGTTCAAACCCCAGTACAGGGAGAAAAAAAAAAAAGTCCCCTAGGTGAGAGTGGACTGACCTTGACAGGAGTCCTTGCTCCTGTGTTCTCTCAGTGAGTGGCAGAGGAGGGGCACGCTAGCCAACTGTGTGACGTGTTAGGCTGCTGCAGCTGTGTGTAGCATGCTACAGATGTCGCTTTAGGATGTTTAGACAATCCTAAGCAATGAGCTGTGCAGTCCGAATGCTTGTTGCAGTCACATTCCTTTTGAAATGCTACTTTTCTGAGAAGTGTATGTATTCACAAAATGTTCTGAAGTTGAAATTTTGGGGACATCAAGTTAACATTTCTGTTTGGGATGCTGAAAGTTGTTTTCTCAAATGCTTGTGTAAGTTAACTTCCTTTTTCTTCTTCCCACTTTTGTTGCCTCTTTATCCTCTCATAAGGCTTGTGCGGCATCTGTAATGGCTGCCCTTCATGTCAGGCGCTATCCATACATTGTCACTCTCCTCTCTGTCACCATGCACGGGGCAGCTCATTACCTGTTCCAGAGTTAAGTGACCAGCTCCAGGTAGCAAAATGAATGAACTAGCAGAGCCTGGGTGTGAGCCAGGTATTGCTGGCTTGGGCGCCTGAGCATCTGCCCTTGGAACAGGGCTGCTCACATGGTTTTTCTTAACAGTGAGATAACATGACCTTTAAAGTATGTTGGGCCATTTCTAACAAGCTGAAAGAGTCATGGAAACCGATGACGTGGCTCTCCAGATGCTTAATTCCCCCTGTATGTGGTCTAGTGAGTACACACTGTATGCCACACACACTGTCCAGGGCAGTGAGCAATGGCTGGCCTTGCCTGAGGGAAGCCTAACGCATGAGATAAGGAAGGAACAGACAGCAGGTCCTCTTAGCAAGAGAACAGTGGTTTGCAGAGGGTGGGGTGGGGTGGGCAGGATGAAAGGAGGGGTGCACCATGCAGCCGGTAGTGATGCTGGTACAGATTGGAGACACAGGTGGCCATTGGGTCCTTACCCTGGTTGCAGAGGACTCTGTTGAGTGATTGGCAGTGTGAGGTCTTGTTCTAAAGGAACTTCTTCCAGGGAAGGATATGCTGGTGTACAGGGAAGGCAGGCACAGTGCTGAAACCCTGAGGGACCCTCAGGGAGGAGGCTTCAGGGTCTTGGGCTCCCTTTGTTCTGCTCCCGTTCCAGGGCTTCTGCTCCGGACTTTGCAGGTGTCTGTGGGGAGGGTTCTGTCATGTGCGGTTATTGAACCAGCCACTAGGTGATGCTAAGACATTTGGACTTGATGTCATGAAATAAGACACAGGAAAACTATTCTCTTTTTTTGGGGGGGTGGGGGTATAACAGAGACTTGCAGCAAGGGCTTCCTACTTGCAAAGCAGGTGCTCTACTGCTTGAGCCACAGCTCCCATCCTTGTTGCTCTGGTTATTTTGAAGATGGGGGATTTGGGGTAGGGGGTGTTCTTGAACAATTTGCCCAGGTTGGAATCTTGAGCCTTCCATTCTCAGCCTCCTAAGTAGCTAGGATTACAGGCATGAGTCACCAGTGCCTGGCTGTTTTTTGTTTGTTTGTTTTTTCCCAACTGCCTACTTGTCAAATAGTCAAATAAGCAAATGAAAGCCAAATTACTTCAAGGGAAGGGCTGGTGTAGAAGCTAGCAGTTCTGACTTGTACACATCTTCCCAGGTACATGTGGGAAAAGAATCGGTTTGTAGCTGACTTTGGTAGGATGGGTTCTCTGTTCCCCAGTGTTTCTCAGTCACTTAAGAACTTGAAAGTCCTCCGCTGTCTTGCTCCTGTGTTCCTTTCCAGAGGGGCCTTAGCTTCGTCCTGAGTTGTTTTCTTTTTAATTGAGGCTTTGAACTCAGAGTACTCTTAGCAATTGGTTGACATGTTTTTAGTGTTTTGCTTTTTTGTTTTGTTTTGTTTTTTGGCAGCACTGTGGTTTGTACCCAGGACCTCACACTTGCTTGCCAGATGCTTTTACTACTTGAGCCGCTCTGCCAGCCCATATAGGTTTTGGCAGTACTGGGGTTTGAACTTAGGGCCTTGAACTTGCTAAGCAGGTGCTCTACCACTTGAGCCACACCACCAGTCCCACTGACATGTTTTTGAATCGAATGTTCAAAACAGTGGAAGTTTAATCCGGATCTGGGATGCCCAGCCCTGCTTGGTTCTTTTCCATTTCCCATCAGTGCTTCAGGCCCGATCCCTACCTCTTCTCACACCTCCAGGTCTTTTCCCATGTCACCAGGAAGACTGAGAGTTCTTCTCCCATACAGAAACTTGTGTTTGTCCTTCCTTGTCCCTAGCCCTTCCTTCTTGAGGTGTGTTCCTGTCTCCTGTCTCACCTCAGCAAGGCCTCCTGCTGAGCAGTCCACGCTTGCTCTCTCCTGTTCTGACCCATTGCCCCTCTGGCTGGCTGTGTCATCAGAGTGCATACTTTCAGCCCTGAATCACAAGGGTCAGTGTGTGTGATGGTGAGGCTGTAATATGTGACTCCATGGTCGGAGTGTCATAGGCTATTGACTGGAGTCATCTTGCTGCTTCCTGCTGACCCAAAGCCAGACTCATCCATCACATCACCACACAAACAGCATGACTAGCTCATTTTGTTGTGTCCCTCCAGGTGTCACCAACCCCAGCCATGATCGTCTTCTGCTGTCTGTTCTTCAGCTTCCATGTCCTGCCTTTAGCCCGTCTGCTGAGTCTGCTGTAGTGTGCTGTGCTTGCAGCAGGACAGCGAGTGCCTGCCACCAATGGCCTATGGGCTGGCCTAGAGCTGGGCCACCCTCAATTGTTTGCCAGGCAGGTGTAGTAAGTGTTGGATCAGCTGTCAGCTAAAGGCAACATGCCATTAAAACAAAGGCCCACGTAGGAAGGCTGTTGACTTTGAGTACTACAGCTACATAAAAGCTTAACATTAGTTGTTAATGAGATGTGAAAATACTCCAGTGAAGATTTGTGGGTGTGATGCTTTGAGACCGTGGTGATGTGTGTTTAAAAATACACAGGCTTTTAGTCATGATGCTGAGTGAGTATTCTTGGCACACTGGAACTGTAGATTCTTGTGACAACATGGCTCAAAGACAAGCGTAACACTGCAAGTACAGGACTATAAGCCTGTGGGGAAAATCAGGTGCCTGAAGCTTTGGAGTAAGGGAGTTTTTGTTTGTGTATTTTTGATTTGGTCTTGCTGTTATAGCTCATGCTAGCCTCAAGCACACGATCCCCCTGCCTCAGCCTCCCAAGCACTGCAGTTACATTGCCACCATGTCTAGCCAGTATAAGGATTGTTTAAGTGGAGCCCACTATGTATTAAAGAGGAAAGAGTTTGGCCACTGGAGTCAGGTAGATCTGGGTTCAGGGGTTGGTTCAGTTACGTGGTGTCAGTTTTCTCATCTGTGGAATGGGGACATAATGGCTCCTGTCTGACGGGGTTGCCATGATGACTATGAATTCCGGATAAAGCTTGTAGCACGGGGTCCCTCATATGACAGGCACTGTCAGTGCTGGGGTTCAGTTTTGTACCTGATCTATTTTCATTCAAGGCCCAGTTCTCTGCCCTTTAATAAGGTAAGTGAGAAGAATCTCACATGCACAACCTAATGGGACACATTGCCCTGGGTTCTCTGAGTCTGTAGTGCTTTACTTTCTATAAAAGCAGAACAATGCAGAAATATCCCTGTGCTCCCTAACTGGAGAAAACAGGAAGATGGCAGGAAAGGGTATGTGTGAGAGAGCCCTGTGCAGGAGTCTGGGACCTGCCCGTACAGCTGTGTTGTAGGGAAGGGTATGCCTTAGATGGGTACTTTTTCCTGCGACATGATTAGAAACTAAAGCAGGTGGTGTGCTATGGCCAGAGATTGTAAATTCAGACCCTACCATGCTTCCTAGATCCTATGTGGTCACAGGCAAGTTAGTTCAATTTTCTGAGCCTCAGTTTCCTTATAGTACATCTGGGACAAGGGCAGTACTCCTCGATTAGTAGGATTTAAGTATAGCTAATTAATACTTGTGAGTGGTAAAGAACTCACTGATTGTAAAAGTGCAGCTATTGCTATTACAAGCCTTTCTCTTTTTTTTTGGGGGGGTGGGGGTGGTGGTGGTTGGCACTGGGGTTTGAACTCAGGGCCTCATGCTTGCTTGGAGGCTTTCTACCACTTGAGCCATTCCACCAGCCCTGTTTTGTGTTGGGTATTTGCCCTGGCTGGCTTCGAACCTGGAGCCTTCTGATCTCTGCCTCCTGAGAAGCTGGGATTACAGACGTGAGCCACTGGTTGTAAAGCCTTTCTGACGGTCAGTTGTGTAAAGTTGGCATTCATAGTTTTCTTAAGGCTGAGAATGATGCCAGCTAGAGAGAACGATGTCAGAGGGTGACTCTGAGGATAAGAAGCTTGCTTATGAATGTAATAAAACAGTGTATAAAGCAGTCTCCGGATTGGAATGCTTGTGGAAAAGCAGTGCAATTAGTTAGCAGGATGCACTGTCACCAGAAGGATTGTCTTACTCACTGGCAGCCATCAGGCATCCACTGCCGTGTGCCGGGCCCCGCATCAGCTGCTGAGATTCAGAGATGGAAAGCGCCTGTGTTTAGTGTCCGAGCAACCTTGCAGTTAATGAGGTGTGCCTCACTCTTAGCCTTGAAGGAAAAAAGTGTGTGTCTTTGAAGTCTATTCTCTAATACATCATTCTACATGTTTTTTTGGCTAGTGTGATTCCTGGTATATGCCCACAGGAAGATAAATACATAATGATGGTGTTGGGGGAAAAGCATAATTTGCAAAGTTTTCATCTTCAAATAACATACTTGATGTTGAATAGACTGAGGCTTTAGCGAGATGACTTTTCTTAGGATGTATGTGTTGCTGAGGGGTTGGCTGATGCTCCCTGACTAAGGTCTATGAATGGTTTAATGTCACTCATGAGAATGTCACTAACTTCTGAACTGTGCTCTTCACTCTTTCAGAGCTGTTGGAGAATGTAACCCTGATACATAAGCCAGTGTCATTGCAGCCCCGTGGGCTGATCAATAAAGGCAACTGGTGCTACATCAATGCTGTATCCTTCCTGGACGTGTCCCCAGAGCAGGCTGGTGGCAGTGGTCTCTCTTGGCCTGCATTACACCTCCTGCAGCTTCCCCAAGGCTGCTAGGGAATTTTGAATCCAGAAACTTGTCCTCCTTGTAGATGGAGATTCCTGACCCCCAACCTTTGAACCCTTCAAAAAGGAGAGTTTGTTGACCTGTGAATGATAGGCTCAGGCAAGTTTTATTCTCATTGGAATGGTCCCAAATAGAGACCAAAAGAGAGTGTCCACGTGGGACTGCAGATTTTGTTCTGATTTGAGTATCTCAGAGGAATAAATTTGATTTTTTTGTTTGTTTGTTTGTGTTTGAAGGTAGGATCTCGCTTTATAGCACAGGCTGGTCTTACATTGTGATCCTCCTGCCTCAGCTTCCTGAGCACTGGATCACAGGTGTGCTGCACCATCTTACCCAGCTGAATGAAGTTTTTGAACATAAACCTGACCTCATGGATGCTCACGTGGATATTACAAGATAGTGGTCCTTGCGATGATTTAGTTTATTCCTTTTTGTGCTCCATGTCCAAGTGGTTCAGTGGCCTTTTGCTCATTCAGCTTCTACTTCGCTTGTGTCTAAGGTGCTTTTAGGAAACGTGCTGTCTGTTTGCTTCTTTTACGCTCCTTACTGCCGATGTGCAGACGCTGCAGGCACTGGTGGCTTGCCCTCCGATGTATCACCTGATGAAGTTCATCCCTCTGTACTCCAGAGTGCAAAGGCCCTGCACGTCCACACCTATGATTGATAGCTTGTAAGTAAGGGCTTCAAAATAGGCTAGTGGGTGGGTATTTTGCCCTGAGATAATTAAAATGTAAATAGTTAACAAAGTTCTTGATTTTCTACAGATGAGTCTTTAAAAAAATGTACTGTTCATAGTCTCATATGGGAGTTTGCTAGAAACTTATATGGAAATTGGATCATTGTTTATCTGTGTTCCTCAGATGGAGCAGGAAACATTACAGTGTTTACCAGTTTAAAATTCACTAAACCAGACCAAAAATGCATATGGAAAAGTTTAAAGAATTCATAGTTATTATAACATGGACTACCTGAAACCTGCTATATTCATACTAATTCATGTTGTTCGAGCGTCAGTGCTCTTTGGTTAAAGTACATCTTAAATGCACTGCTCTGCTGCACAGGCAGCTCAGGTGGTTGAGTGTCTCACTAGCAAGTGCGAGGCCTCAAATTCAAGCCCCACCGCACCACCATTAGAATATCAAAAAGAAAACAGATGTGTGACAACTGCTAAATAACTCATCTAAGATGGTGATTAAAAAACCAAGATGTAAATACCATATACCTTTTAAAAAATGCACTGCTTCATTTTTTATTCTTTCCATGTTTAGTGTCCGGCTAATGAATGAGTTTACTAACATGCCAGTACCTCCCAAACCCCGGCAAGGTGAGTCATACTGGGAAGTCAGAGAGGTGTCTTTAAATACAGGTGACTATGCCTGTGCTGTCCTCAGTCTCCAGCCTGGTCAGGGTGAGGGGTGAGGGGTGACTGCTGTCCATCCTTAGCTACATCCTTTTAGTTACACAAAGCTGTGTCCTGTTCTCTTGCAGCTCTCGGGGACAAAGTTGTGAGGGATATCCGGCCGGGAGCTGCCTTTGAGCCCACGTACATCTATAGACTGCTGACGGTTATCAAGTCCAGCCTGTCTGAAAAGGTGTGGAGCGCTCTGTGTAGCCTGGGGAGAATGTTGCCTTTGTGTTGGCAGTTGCTGCTGACCTGGCACCTGCCTCTTTCTCCAGCACTGGGATTTGTGTGTTCAGGATGAGACCCGGCTTTATGTTGGGGTCAAGCTGTTTGGATGAATTTCAAGAGTGTGACTGTTGTCCCCTTAGACCTGGCTAATAGAGCTTCCGCAGTGCTCCTAGCACTGCTCTGCGCACTGAGCTTTGCCACCTTAGCTACCTTAGCTACCCCTGGGAGTAACGTAGAACCATTGTCCCCGTCACCGCTGAGAAAGGGAGGTCACGTGGCTACCCAGTGGCAGAGCCTGGCTTTCAAGGTCGTGCACTGCACTGCTTTTGGGTCCTGGAGTTGGCATGGTGATGAAATTCCTGGGGCCTCTGTCTTCTTCATGTCTGGGCTGTGGTAGCTATTCAGCGTCCTTGGCTCTTACCTCGGTGTTTCTCATACTTGTTGCTGCAGCCATGAGGCCAAGGGAGCAAGTGACCCGGGGCACCCTCAGCACAGCTGACTGGAATTTCCTTGTCCTTGCCTGCATTTGTAGTGAATCAGTACAGCAGTTGAAGTGATACTGAGGGAGACTTAATCAGACAAGAAAAAGTCAAGAAAATGCTATTTCAACTAAGTAAAGTTCTCCTGGTGTTGTGGCACACACCTGTAATGCTAGCACAGGGGAGGTGGAGGCAGGAGGATCAAGACTTCAAGGCCAGCCTGGTCTACACAGTGAAACCCTGTTTCAAAAAACCAAGACTAAAACAACAATAGTGTTCAAACCCACCCTAAAATAAACTAAGTAAAGTCATATTGCAGCTGCAGTGCTTTGAAGAGGGGTGAGTGTCCTGCTGTCCATGTCGGGTGGCAGCAATTCAGAGATACTGGGGTTTGAACCTGTCTTCACCCTTGCTAAGCAGGTGCTCTACTCTTTGAGCCGCGCCTCCAGCTTGATTTCTGACCTTTTTAAATGCCTGTAATACAGCTTTGGTGTTGACTCAGGTTTGCAGAGCACTAGGATGCAGAAAGGCAGTGAAGTCTGTGCTGTCTGCCCTCAAAAACTCACTGTCCAATGTGAGACTTAGACTCATAACCAAGCCAACAGATCAGTAAAGGCAGGTGGTGTGCAGGTGCTGAGGGCCTGGAGGGCCCCCGCTGCAGTGGAGGCAGGGACAGGCCGTCCAGGGAGGCCTTCCTGCAGCCCAGCCCCTCGAGGATCACTCTCAGGACTTGTTCTGAAGTTACATTAGCATTGAGGGGGCTGAGGCCCCCAAGAGCAGCCTCAGGTTTGGTGTGCTTGGGTCATGGTGGCAGAAGGATCCAGAACAAGCTCAGGAAAGGGACAAGACAGTCCAGGGAAAACATGCTGATTCTTAACCCCAGGGCTGCGGCACAGCACACTCGAGCCTCCAGCACCAGGGCTTCCATGGGAGCTCCAGCTGAAATCCTGAATGCCCAGGTCTTCAGCATAAACTATTTTGCTTGCAGAGTCTAGGCACAGGCCCTTATCAGTTCTTGACTGATGGAAATCTTTCTGACATCCAAGTTTCCCAAATCCCAGCCAGCCCAGGGCCAAGCTGGCTTGTGGGCCTTTCCTGGGAGAGCAGCCCCAGTCTGTTGTATGAACTCCGTGCCACCCCACTTCTTGTTTGATGGTACTGAGTTTGGATTCAGCTAAGCAGGTACTCTACCACTAAAGCTTTCTGCTTTAGTTGTTTTTCAGATAATTTCTCATGTTTTTGCCTGGTTGGGCTGTGATCCTCTTACCTGTCTGCCATGTAGCTGGGATTACAGTTGTGCACCACATGTTTAGCTTATTCTTTCAGATACAGTCGCACTGATATTTTTGCCTGGACTGGCTGCAAACTGCAGTCCTGCTTCCCATGTAGCTGAGATTATAGGCATGAGCCACCGTACCCAGCAACCTTTCCTTTTCCTTTGCTCTTTCTTTTTGGTGGGTAGCAGTACTGGGGATTGAATTCAAACATAAAGTCCTGAGTTCAAACCCCAGTACTGTTTTAAAAAACAAAAAGCAACCTTTTTCTTTTGGCAGTATTGGGGATTGACTCCAGGCAGGGCCTGCGCTGTACCATCTTGAGCCATGCCCCAGTCTTTTTGTTTTCTTAGTTTGCTTTTCACATAGGATCTCACTTTTGCTGAGGCCAGCTTCAGACTTTGATTCTTCTACCTCTGCTGGTAGAGCAGCTGGGATTATAGGCGTGTGACAACATGCCTGGTTGAAACCAAGTTTTAAATAATCTCACTCTTCCCTTCTTCCTCCACGTCTTCTTCCCCCTTCTTTTTTTTTTTTTGTTTGGAAAAATCCAGCACAGCATACATAAGAAAATAAAAGTCGTCATTATTTCTTGAGAATAAGTAATCTTTTTCTCCCATCCTCTGTAGTGCCCTAGGATCTCAACTATTGAAAGAAAAACTTCTATTTTTGTAACTCCTATAACATGCAGTCTTAAGAATTTCAGCAGAGGTGTAGTTAACATGTGGGAGCTGTGGCTCCTGCAGTCTGGACAGCAGTGACTAAAATTAACGCGGTCGTGTGTGACTCCTCAGGGCCGACAGGAAGATGCCGAGGAGTACCTAGGTTTCATCCTCAACGGACTTCATGAGGAGATGCTGAACCTAAAGAAGCTCCTCTCCCCAGACAACGAAAGTAGGTCAAGGGCTGCTGGCCTCCACCGGTGGGACTGGGTTCCCTGGGTCCTCCTTCCATCAGTGTGTGCTCCGTGGACTTGCCCCTCCTTCCCACAGTCATCGTTCCTTAGAGACAGGGATCGCTCATTCACTCATGGCCTTCACGCTGCCTTTCACATGCCCACGACTGTCATATTACCTAAGCTTAGGTTTCTCCAGAGCCCCTCTTTTCCTTCTGCTTTTTTTCTTTTCCCCCACTGTCTGTGATCAAACCCAGGATCTCATGTATGCTAGGTATCGCTCTATCAATGAGCGCTCCCACCCCCCAGCCACATCTTTCCAGAGCACCTTCAAATTGCTCCAGGGGTTCCAGGAATGATTTTTGGGGGGGGGTGGGAGTGAGGAGGTGTCAGACAGGGGCTTGCTGTGTAGCTCAGGCCAGCTGGGGCTCTAGGTCCTTCTGCTTCAGCCTCCCCAGGTGCTGGGATTACAGGTGGGCACCACCATGCCCAGCTTTCCCAAAGAATACCTTTTATTGCAAGTTAATGCAAATGAGTATCCGATGAAGCTGAGTTTGTTGCAACTGGTTGCTGTAGAACACGTGCAAATTTTATTTTAAAAGTATGGTTGGCAGAGCTGTGGAAGTGGTTCATGGAGAAGCTTGGCTGTTTTTATTTTTTGCTGTTCTTGTGAATAGCAGATCCTCTTCTTTTCAGAACTTTCAATTTCCAACGGGCCCAGAAGCCACTCGGTGAACGACGAGGAGCAGGAAGAACAAGGCGAAGGAAGTGAGGATGAGTGGGAGCAGGTGGGTCCCAGGAACAAGACCTCTGTCACCCGCCAGGCGGACTTCGTCCAGACGCCGATCACTGGCATTTTTGGTGGACATATCAGGTTTGTGGTTTTCTGGAATAATTCTGCCTTTGGGCTCCCCTGACTGCTAAAGCAGGAGGTGTGTGCTCTGTCCAGACACTTTTTGCAGACTGGTATGCCTTGGCACGCCCTGCCTGCCCTGCCCTGTGCTTGCCCTTCCAGGGGTATCCGTGCGCTCCCTCTGCTCCTGAGCACCTCTGCAGGGCATTGTCCCCAGGCTCTGTGTGCCTCAGTACTCCACGGCAAGCCAGCTAAGCTTTGCTAAGAGGAATGAATGCGCCTGGCTGGGACATTGTGTTTGTTTAGTTATCTTGGTAAGTTTTATTGTATGTATTTGAAGTCCACAGCACGTTAGGAAGTACAGTTAGTATAATGGTCACATAGAGAAGCAAGCGAGCACATGCATTCCTCATCTCGCACAGTCACGCGCTTCTTGTGCAAGAGCAGCTTTCATCTACTCATTAAGCGAGACTCTGGGTTCAGTGCACCATTACTAAAGTCAGGGCTCTACACCTGTTCACCGTGTGCTTCTGCTGCCTATGCAGCTCCCATTTCCTTCCCCACACCTTGCCCCTGGTTAGCATTGCTTTCTTCTCTGTCTCCCTGTATTTGACTTTTTTTTAAAAAGATTTCATAAATAGCATGAAGCACAGTGTTTTTCTGTGTTTAGACTATTTCACTCAGTAAATGGCCATGCTGTGGCAAATGCTGAGATTTTTTAGAGGCAGAGTAATACTCCATTGTATGTGCGCACCGAGTTTCTATATGTCTTTCTCCATGTTGTTCCATGTCTTGGTGATGGTTGTGGATGGATTGGAGGAGTTTAGACAAGAAAGCCACATGTGCTCAAAAGAGAAGGATGAGGGGAGTACTGCCACACTGCTGCTAGCTAGATCCAAGCCATATGGTCTGGGGAACGGCTCACCCTTCTGCCACTGTGACGTGTCTTGGCAGTCCTGTCCTTGGGATGGGCTGTGTTGGCAAGGGCAGTGAGGGGCAACTTCGCCCTCTATGACCCAGCCCCGCAGCCTGGTGTGGGACCATGAGAGCATGCTTGCAGGGTGGTGCAGGCAGTGAGAACCCTCACCCCCCCGAGATGAGGTACCCAGAGGTCCCAAATGTGGCTAAGAATAACCAATGGAAAATGCCAGAATATAAAATCAACATAGAAAAATCATTAGCATTTCTATACACTAATAATGAACAAACTGAGAAAGAATATATGAAAACAATTCCATTTACAATAGCCTCAAAAAAAAATCAAATACCTAGGTGTAAACCTAACAAAGGATGTGAATGACCTCTACAAGGAAAACTATAAACTTCGGAAGAAAGAGATTGAGGAAGACTATAGAAAGTGGAGAGATCTCCCATGCTCATGGATTGGTAGAATCAACATAGTAAAAATGTCGATACTCCCAAAAGCAATCTACATGTTTAATGCAATTCCCATCAAAATTCCAATGACATTCATTAAAGAGATTGAAAAATCTACCGTGAAATTTATATGGAAACACAAGAGGCCACGAATAGCCAAGGCAATACTCAGTCAAAAGAACAATGCAGGAGGTATCACAATACCTGACTTCAAACTATATTACAAAGCAATAGCAATAAAAACAGCATGGTACTGGCACAAAAACAGACATGAAGACCAGTAAAACAGAATAGAGGATCCAGATATGAAGTCACACAACTATAAACAACTTGTCTTTGACAAAGGTGCTAAAAATATACGATGGAGAAAAGACAACCTCTTCAACAAAAACTGCTGGGAAAACTGGTTAGCAGTCTGCAAAAAACTGAAACTAGATCCATGTATATCACCCTATACCAACATTAACTCAAAATGGATCAAGGATCTTAATAACAGACCACAAACTCTAAAGTTGATACAGGAAAGAGTAGGAAATACTCTGGAGTTAGTAGGTATAGGTAAGAACTTTCTCACTGGAACCCCAGCAGCACAGCAACTAATAGATAGCTTAGATAAATGGGACTTCATAAAACTAAAAAGCTTCTGCTCATCAAAAGAAATGGTCTCTAAACTGAAGAGAACACCCACAGAGTGGGAGAAAATAGTTGCCAGCTACACATCAGACAAACGACTGGTAACCAGAATATATAGGGAACTTAAAAAACTAAATTCTCCCAAAACTAATGAACCGATAAAGAAATGGGCAAGTGAACTAAACAGAACTTTCTCAAAAGAAGAAATTCAAATGGCCAAAAAACACATGAAAAAATGCTCACCATCTCTAGCAATAAAGGAAATGCAAATTAAAACCACGCTAACATTCCACCTCACCCCTGTTAGAATAGCCATCATCAGCAACACCACCAACAACAGGTGTTGGTGAGGATGCGGAGAAAAAGGAACCCTCTTACACTGCTGGTGGGAATGTAAACTAGTACAACCGCTCCGGAAAAAAATTTGGAGGCTACTTAAAAAGCTAAACATTGATCTACCATTTGATCCAGCAATACCACTCTTGGGGATATACCTAAAAGACTGTGACACAGGTTACTCCAGAGGCACCTGCACACCCATGTTTATTGCAGCACTATTCACAATAGCCAAGTTACGGAAACAGCCAACCCCCACTACTGATGAATGGATCAAGAAAATGTGGTATCTATACACAATGGAATTTTATGCAGCCATGAAGAAGAACAAAATGTTATCATTCGCTGGTAAATGGATGGAATTGGAGAACATCATTCTGAGTGAGGTTAGCCTGGCCCAAAAGACCAAAAATTGTGTGTTCTCCCTCATATGCGGACATTAGATCAAGGGCAAACGTAACAATGGGATTGAATTTTGATCACAAGATAAAAGTGAGAGCACACAAGGGAGATATGAGTATAGGTAAGACACCTAAAAAATTAGCTAGCATTTGTTGCCCTTAACTCAGAGAAACTAAAGCAGATACCTTAAAAGCAACTGAGGCCAATAGGAAAAGGGGACCAGGAACTAGAGAAAAGGTTAGTTCAAGAAGAATTAACCTAGAAGGTAACACACACTCACAGGAAATTAATGTGAGTCAACTCCCTGTATAGCTATCCTTATCTAAACCAGCAAAAACCCTTTGTCCTTCCTATTACTGCTTATACTCTCTCTTCAACAACATTAGAGATGAGAGCAAAATAGTTTCTGCTGGGTATTGAGGGGTGGGGGGGGGTGGAGTAGGTGGCAAGGGAGGGGGTGGGGACGGGGGAAGAAATGACCCAAGCATTGTATGCACATATGAATAATAAAAAAATAAAAATTATAAAAAAAAATACCAGAATCCAATCTGGAGAAACTGTTGGCTCAACCTGCGTGGCTGTTATAGCCGCTGGCCCTGGTCTCTGGGGTATTTGTGTTGAAGCTGACCGTTGCTGCTTTTTTTGAAAAAAGGTAAAGATAAGGAATTCCTACAGCGTAGCAACAATTTTTTAGCCATCTGTAAACAGGGTTCTGTATTCTGACCAGTTGACAGTCTTCTCGAAACTTAAGTGCTTTCAAAACGAGCATCTGCCTTTTTTAACTGACACCCGGACTTCTAAGCCAAGAGGACCATCCTTGGTTCCTTCACTACCTCCATTCCTGGTCCTCACAACTCTCCCCTGGAACCCGCTGACCGCTGACCCTTGAAACCCTTGTGCCTAGGAGGATGGTGGCCATGTTTCTTAAACCTGCAGGAAAAGCTCGCTGCCACTTCTCCATGGTTTCTGCCATGAAGTCTGAGAACCTGTCCACAACCCGGTTTACTCCGTTCATAAACTAGGTCACTCCAACTGCAGAAAACCTTTGTTGAACTCCTGGAATGCTTCCTTCCTGTGGATAAATGAGATGTGGGCCAAACATAAAAATTTCACTCAGGAAACTTAGAAAAAGAAAAATGAAGAAACAAGAAAAAATGTTCAGTTGGTGCCCTTCTGGGAAGGGTGGTGGTCCTTCTTCCTGGAATGCGTATTTGGTTTTTATTATCCAGTCCCCACTACCCTTCTTTATCTGTGCCAGTTTTGTAGAGGAAGTGCCACTTTAAAAAAAAAAAACAAAACTCTGCTTACTTTGGGGATTACCTCTGTCATTAGAACAAACTGTGATATTTTGAGAAAAACAATGCATGTCAGAAATTTAAGTCATGGCAAGATGGTCACCCTTACTCCCGGGGCATTTAAATAATGGTGTGGTATGCAGGTGAAGTGCTGAGCTGGGCAGCATCACCTGCGCAATTTAGTTGCTAATGCTTGGGAGATGGTGTTAGCAGAGTCATTTTTGAATTCTGTATGGTTTTGGCTTTTTGGTTTTACCTGGTCTTCTGAAGGTGAATCAAGTATCATTGTTTTATTCCTCTTCTTTTGTTTTATTTTAGGAGAAAGTGGCCGGTAGTGGTGTCTTAAGTTTTTGTTTTTTCTTTTTCAATTTTCAGGTCTGTGGTTTACCAACAAAGCTCAAAAGAATCTGCCACTTTGCAGCCATTTTTCACGCTGCAGCTGGACATCCAGTCTGACAAGATTCGCACGGTTCAGGATGCACTGGAGAGCCTGGTGGCCCGAGAGTCTGTGCAGGGTTACACCACCAAAACCAGGCAGGAGGTACGTTCACGACAGGAAAGAGTGTGGGATCGGGATGAGGGGAAATGGACTTCAATTCTGCCTCTCGCTTCTGTTGCTTAGCTTTTTTTGGACTGAAAATGTCTACCTTTCCAGGATGGAGTGGTACAAACAGGTTACTCCAGGAAAGGATCCACCTGTTGTCGTTGGTCCTGAGCAGTCTAGTCCTGGCATCACAGAGTCAGTGCTGTGTCTAGCAGAGGCCATAGCTTGTCTGTATTCATGGTGTGCAGCACAGTTTTCTCAGGTCACTTAGGACATGAAAGGGGTTCTGAGCACATCTGCTCTGCATTTGTCGTAGCTCTCCAAGGTTACAGAGACAGGAAGTCACTGTTGAGACTCCTGTTGCTCTTTGGTTTGAACTGAGGAGGGTGAGCTATTGAGTCTTTCTGTTTTCAGGAGTTAGGAGTAAGTAGGTTACGGCTCAGTTGGAAGAGGTTTGTGTTATTCTGTGTGAGAGGTCTCTGGTTCCTGGCTCTCCCTCTGTCCCGGCTCTTCCTGTCTTTGGCTCTTCAGTAGAGAATGTCTCTATTCCATGTGTCAGACTGTGGCAGTGAGTTCATAGGGTGTGGGCTAGGTAGGACGGCACTGTCTGAGCAGTTCATAGTAGTCTTGTGAGCAAGTCTTTGGGGTTGGGATGTAGTTCAATTATAGAGCAGTTAACCTAGCATGGGCATAGCCCCATGCTTGACTCCCAGCACCCCCCTCCATTCCCCATACCCCCTCGCCCCTGCCGCCGCATGCACACAAACCAAAAGAGCACCTGAATAGCAGGCAGTGTATGGTGGTGACACATGTCCTAATGCAGGACTGGGGTGTGGCTAAGGAGGCAGAGCTGCTTACCTGATGAGTATCAGGCCCTGTGTTCTAGCCCCAATATCCTCCCCCGTCAAAAAAAGAAAAGAAAAGAAAAAAACAGTCCTGACACAGAAAACCTGTCTCCACACTGCCACACTGCACTGCTGGGATAGACCTGCCCTTGCTCACCGCTTCTGTTTAGACCAGTATCTAAATTCGGGTCATCTGTGCACCTGAGGTCTTGTCTCGGGGAATGCTAATGTGGAGGGACTGGGGATCTGTGAATGCAAGCCGTGATAGGCTGCACTGAGCCTCCTGTGGCTATAGCCTCTGCAGCTCTGCTTTTCTTAAGAAAAAAGATTTCTACCAATAGTATTCTCCAAATAAATACTGGGAAGTGTCAAAGGGGAATGGCAAATAAACTGAAGATGCATTTTTTGGGAGAAACAAAAAGGAAGCACCAAGCTTGGACCCGGAAGGGCCAGGGAGCGAAGGCAGGAGGAGGATGGGTCAGATGGCTGCACGCCCGCCATGTGCACATTTGGGAATTGCACCGTGAGTCCTGTTGATGTTTACAGTTGCTTCCTGTTAACGATAAGAAAGTAACCTAGTGTTACTTAAAAGCATCATTCATTACAGCTGTGAAAGTGCTCCATGGGCATGTTAAAACTGATAAACCTAACGGCTGCAGTCTCATGATGATGGCAGACAGCTTTCGGGTTATTCAGATCATGATTAAAGAAACATACACCAGTTGGTTGACACTGTGAAAGTTACGGAGAAGCAGGTTAGCACATCCCTAGTTCAAATACAAGCTTTTTCTTTCTTTCTTTTTTTGTGGTGCTGGGCTTAAATTCAGGGTCTACACCTGAGCCTCTCCACCAGCCCTATTTTTGTGAAGGGTTTTTCGAGATAGAGTCTTGTGAACTATTTTTTCAGGCTGGCTTTGAACCGTGATCCTCCTGATTTTCGGCCTCCTGAGTAGCTAGGATTACAGGCATGAGTCCACCAGTGCCAGCTGCAAGTACTAGCTTTTATTCGTAGGCTGATTTATCAGAGATGGACTTCAGGACCCAGGGTCCTCTGCAGCTGCCTCTATAGCCACATGCACTTTCCCAAGGCGGTCCACCTCAGCACTGGCCAGGGCACAGGACGGCTGTGTCGGGCTTTGCAGCTCAGGAAGCCTTGAGCGGAGGTGGAGAGATGGGTGCCGCTCAGTTGGATGGACAGCAAGTGCTAGTATTTGTGTCCCAGGTGGAGATCAGCCGGAGAGTGACTCTGGAAAAGCTGCCCCCTGTCCTTGTGCTGCACCTGAAGCGATTCGTCTATGAGAAGACAGGCGGCTGTCAGAAGCTGATCAAAAACATCGACTATCCTGTGGACTTGGAAATTAGCAAAGGTAAGGCTGAGGCTGTGGACTGCCACAGTGCCTCCTGCAGCCCATTGCATGCTGTCAGGGCCAGCAAAGTCTTTGTTGGCTTCTTTCATTTTAAATTTCTTGACAGTGATATACATATGTTAAAAATCTTGTTAAAGTGCCCTTTAAAATAGAGGCAAAGGCAAATAAACCCTTAACTTTACTAGATGAGAAAAATAGGAGGCTTTGTCCATTCAAAAGAGTGTCATTTTTCTGTATGTGCGTGTGAATTACTAGCAGATCCTCCTGTCTCCAGCCAAGCACTGACAGCTGTGGTACCCATTGTGGCTGACGGCAGTGGGGTATCTTCTGCCTCCAGTTGCCATGACAGGAACATGCATTTGTGTTCCTGTGTCACCAGGTCTCCACAGGTCACTGTGCTCAGCAGTGCGGCACATTTGAAAGCAGTTTTAAAGAGCTCGAGTTAGAGCCGCCGCGCTGAAAGCCTGGTTGAGAGCTGGTGAGTGTGTGAGAAGAGCATGTGGCAGGGCACCAATGCAGCTGCATAGGGCAGGCCCCGGAGAGCCTCAGAATGCCCCAGAGTCTGGGAAACCAACAGGCCCGGTCTGCCCCGGCCCTTCCTTCCAGTGCAAGTGCTATGTGCAGTCAGGCTCAACTCCCAGCTCAGCCTCCTGGCCAGCACTGGTCCAACCTCTGCTCCTGCACTCAGCTATGGTGTGGCATTGACCATCAGCAGTGAGGTCTGATCCCATTTGAGGACCAAAAAGGGGAAGGAAGATGCTAGAAAGAGTCACGCAGTGCTCCTTCTTACCATTTTGTCTGTCAGGAAACCTGGAATGCAGAATGCTGTGACTCACACCTTTGCCTTTCACTTTGCCCATCAGCCCATGTGCTGACTCTGGTGCTCCTCTCTTCCTCCCCTCCCCATTCCTCCTTTCCTCCTCTCCTTTTCTCTCTCTCCCCCTTCTTCCCCACCTCTTCCGGCCCTTCCTTTCTTTTACTATTTTTATTAGCATACGTTAATATTACAAGGGGGTTTCGTGTCATTGTGACAATTCCAGAGACATACAGGGTGCACTTTGAAAATGTTCACTCCATTGCCTTCCCTTCACCGCCTTCCTCCCCTTTCTCAAGCAGTAGGTGGTGGGTTTCATCTCACTCTCTTTAGTGTGTACAGATGTATGTACTTACTGCACCTTGATCCTTGTCGTGGCCTGTCCTCTCCCATCCCCTCTCTAATTGCTCCCCACACAGTTTCCCTTTTGTACTCACGTCCCATCATCATCGTCATTGTCATCATCATAATTTTGGGTCTAGATTCCACATATGAGTGTCTTTTTGAGCTTGGCTTATCTTGTGTATCATGGTGATCTTCAGTTCCACCCATTTTCCTATAAATGACATAAGGTCGTTCTTCTTTATGGCTGAGTAATACTCCATGGTGTATAGATACCACATTTTCTTTATCCATTCATCAGTTGGTGGGCACCTCTGCTGATCCCACAGCTTGGCTATTGTGAACAGAGCTGCTATAAACGTGTGTGCGGGTGTCTCTTGTATGTTGATTTACACTTGTTATCTTTTCCATTTTTATAGCCTATGTTTTTAGCGTTCTGCAGCACAAGCTTCCTTGCTTCTGTGTTGCTCATTATTTCTTTGGCAGCTGGATTATTTCTTTGGCAGCTGGATTGGGCATCCACGAATGTCTGCATCCCATTGTACAGCTCCTTGTCCTCAGGGACCCACCAAGGTGATGGGATTCCACTGTGTTCTTGCCCTATGGCTGCTGCTTGGGGAGAGGCTATAGCAGCCATTGCTTTTGTGACTCAGGGCCTTTCTCTAAGAGCTGGTGTTTTGTTTTTCAGAACTGCTTTCTCCGGGGGTTAAAAATAAGAATTTTAAATGTCACAGAACCTACAGGCTATTTGCAGGTGAGTGCATTTATTTTCTTCTGTTAACACAGTGAGTGAGTGTATGCTCTGCTGTGTACAGCTGTGCTGGAATACACTTGTCACAGAACCATTCACTCTATTTGGGATCCAAAGGAGCATGTCAGTCTGGAAAGCGTTTGAGAAAGTGTGTTTTACCTGAAGTTTGGCACACTTGGGATTTGACAGACTGTCAACTGGGCCCTGAGCTAGGCCTGGCATGAGGGAGGCCTCACATGAAGTGAGCATGTCTGTCTTTTAAGTCAGAGCTTCAGGCTCCAGACGAGGTACCTGCATTTGGAGGGGATCAGGTGGGCACCTTTAACTGTGTGCAGGGCTCTTCTCACGGGCCATCTGCCTGGTGCTCTCTTCCAGTGGTGTATCACCACGGCAACAGTGCGACGGGCGGCCACTACACTACAGATGTCTTCCAGATTGGGCTGAATGGCTGGCTGCGCATCGATGACCAGACGGTCAAGGTGATTAACCAGTACCAGGTGGTGAAGCCCACCGCTGAACGCACAGCCTACCTCCTGTACTACCGCCGTGTGGACCTGCTGTAGCTGTGCGCCATGTGTGTGCCTGACGCCGCTTCGTAGACCCCGACTCACTAACTTCCTGCCTCTCTTAGTGCTCTAGAGAGAAACTTCTCCCTCTTGCAAATGGGCTAGAATGAAAAGGAGACGCCTGGGGTTTGTGTGCAGCCAGTTGACGCTGACCTCTAACTTCCAAATCAAAATCATTTGGTTGAAATAGGAAATAGACTGTCACTTGATTTAAGACCCGTTCTCGCGAGATGGTGTTGACTCCTGAGATGAGAAAAGGAAAGTGGCATTCAATCCCACTCTCTACTTGCTTAGTAATGAACCCTGCACCAGCAACACTGTAAATTTGTGAAAATGAATTTTATCTTTCCTGAAAAATTAAATTTTTTAATCCATCATACTTTCCTCCCCCCCCCTTTAGTTTTTGATAAATGATAAAAATGAGCCAGTTATCAGAGAAGAAATAGTTCTTACTTCAAAAAGATAAACAAACATTAAAAATATGTTGCTGGTTCCTAACAGGAAAAACACATTTTAATAACTGTGCAAAGGAAAACTGCTTACACACACATTGCAAATCAGATGTTTGGAGTTAAGATGTTAGTCTACATAGATGGGTGATTGTGACTTTATTGCCGTTAAAAGATTTCAAATTGCATTCATGCTTCTGTGTCCACACGGGAGAACAGACAGAACGGGGAAGCTGCGGTTTTTTGGAGTCTGCTGCCCGCTCCTCTCCCTCAGTCTGCAGTTATGATTGTGCAGTTCAGTGATGCGATGCTTAACAGTATAAAGTTGTCGCCCATCAATAAAAATCACAAAGTTGGTTTAAGCCTGGTGTGCTTCTTGGACTGTGAATCCTTTTTCAGCCTGTGAGAGTTAAAGCAGGTGTGCGAGCAGCCTGGTGTTTGGAAGCTGAGCCAGGATGTTGGCTTGCTCCAGTCGTGTTTCCCAAGTTGAAGACTGTGCCGACCTGGGTAACGAGTCCTGGAGTCCTCCTGCGTCCAACAGTGTTCAGTCGCCACGGTGAGAGAGTGGTTCAAGTCAAGGCTGAGCATCCTTAGCAGTGCCTTCTTGTGCCACCCTAGCTGCTGGAAAGGAAGGTAGTCATGTGCCAGAGAAAGGCCACCACAGTGGGGTCTCTGCCACGTGTGTCCCTGGCATCTGGCCTTGTGCAGACAATTCATAGCTGTGTGCCAGGATTTACAGAGAGGTGGTTTCCAAGTGATGGGAGCCTTTTCCTCAAGCTCTTCCTTTTACCACCTGGTGCCTACTCTTTGTGGAAGAGCTTACGTGGTAGGTCATAGTTCTCAGGCCACCCTCTCAAGTCTGCTATCAGTTGTGTTCTGATTTGCTTGGCTGAATCACAGCCACAGCTTCTCATCAAGACACTGTGCAGTTCCCATGGGACACACAGGGTTTGGAAGCTAAGTCAGGTTTGGAGTAAGCCACTCCTATCCATAGCTGCACAGCCGCAGGTGAAGCGAGCCCTGCTGTCATTCAGCAGCCATGCTTTGAGATGGGGTCTTGAGGTACACAGCCCAGGCTGACTGGCCTCCAACATGAGTGGCTCCTGCCTTGAATGCTGGGATGGCTGAGATGGCTTCAATCTAAAGCAGGTGCCACTTCTAGGTTGTGCTGTTTGTGCTGGATCCATCCTGACCTCAGTGCAGCCCACTCTAACTGTAGTTGATTGTTCACCCTTGGCAGTGTGAAGTGGCTTTGAGGCCTCCCAGGAGCAAGGCCTTCAGATGTGGGAGTGTTTTTTCGCAGGAAGCCAGAACAAAGATGCAGATACTGGGGGCACAGGCTTAAAATATAGTCTGTGTATCCAGACAAGAAAACCCTCCTCTTGTGTCTCACTCAGCAGCTTCTACATAATCTCAGCGCTCCTGCAGAGTGTATTTTGTTAAGCTGCAGCTAGGTCAGGAACGACTAGATGTGGAGAAAACCCCTCTTGACGGGTTGCAGGTCTTCTTCAAGAGTGGTTAGAGATGAGTTAGATCCAGTAGGCATTTGGGTGTCTTGGTCACCTTGTGATCTGCTTCTCAGGTTGTTGTCCCTTGTGTGGCATTCCTGGGTTGTTAGTTCACCTTCCATCCAGCAAGGGAGTCCTTTGTCACCTCTCATGTGGTTGTGTTGTTTTTTAGAAAGGTGAGTGCAGGCTGAAGGCCAAGGTGCCTCTGGGCTTGGCACTGTGTTCTCATCATCTTCTCTGATCCCACCCTGGAGCCTTCTTTCTCTCTCTCTCTCTCTCTCTGTCTCTGTCTCTGTCTCTCTCTGACCGTACTGGGCTTTGAACTCAGGGCCTTGCCTTGCACTTGCTAAGCAGGTGTTCTGCTACTTGAGCCGTGCTCCCCCACCCCCCGGCCCTTTTTTTGCTTTATTTTTAGGGCATCACATTTTTACTCAGAGCTGACCTACAGCCACATTCCTCCTTCCCATTCACATTTACTGGCTTGCCTCACCACTCCCTGCTTATTTGTTGAGATGGGGTCTTGCTAACTTCATGCCTGGTTGGCCTCAAACCCCAATCCTCCCAGTCTCCACCTCCTGAGTAGCTGGGATTACAGGCATCAGCTACCATGCCTGGCTGTCTTCTACCCTCTTAACCTCATCTAACCCCAGTTACTCATCAGTGGCCCTACTTCCTATTACCAAGCCATAGGGTGAGGGTTTCAGCATGTCAATATTGGGTGAACATGCATGTTGTGCTTAACTATGGTAGCCCCCACACCAGTTAACTTGAAATAGAATTTGCAGTGGAGATGTAGCTTCTTCAATTTCATGTTGCCCACGTAGGAGCAGCACACATTCAGCTGCAGACAGAAGAGCAAGGCCCTGAATGGCAGTGTGTGCCAAGAAGATGGCAGTCTTTGGCCCATAGTAGAGAACTGGGTGTCTCTAGCAAATAGAATTTGCCAGGGTCCCAAGGGAACTGCGGCCTGTCCGTGTTGTCAGTTCTTGAGATTTTGCACTCAGCGTTTGTATTTTGTGCCACAAACTGGGTGCTCTTGTAAGCATCATGGTGCTGGCTCCCTGGCTTAAGGCCATTCACTCTGGACGACCTTGGTGTTAGGGCTGCGGGTCTCATGATTGTCCTCCATTGTCCTTCCCACATCTATGGGTGGCTTTTACATGGAAGTGAGTGCTGAGGTGTTGCTAGACACATTGTACAGGGGCAGAGCCTGCTGAGGTTTGCCTGCTTGCTGTGCCATCTGCCAAGGATCATCAGCCACTGTGGGTTGGATCCCGGCTGGAAAACCATGGCAAGAGTCCGGCTCACAGGGCACTCAGCTCTTGTCGGTAATGTCATCATGGCCTAATGCCTGGCAGCATGAGCAGGAAAGCCTTTTCCTGAGTGACATTTCTGGTACTGCTGGGAACAGACTGGTTAGAAAACTGCACTCAGCCCAAGTCAGTTGCTTTGGAATTACTTGAATTAAGCAAGCTAACTAGGAGTAAATTGTACTCAGTTTGCATTAGCCTACAGGAAACACATCAGTTGTGTGGTTGGAGGCATGGCTCAAGTGGTAGAGTGCCTTCCTAGCAAGGTTAAGGCTGTAGGTTCAAACCCCAGTACCGCCAAAAAAATAAATAAGATTTTTACCAACTTCTCTTTCCCACTCCCTTTGTAAGTGCTTGTTCTGTCTTACTGATCACTGAGAACAGTGTATTTATCGCTTGGTATTGTAACACGTGGAAGCATCAGGGTGGTGGTGTGTTACCCACCTGCATGAAGCCAGCATGCAAGAAATTTTCGTGTGTGGAAGTCCCGGCCATCGCTTGCAGGAATGCCTGGGTGCCTGTTACGCATCTCAGAACTGAATAGAGGCTCCTACCCTGTGTCTTTCTAAAGAAAGGAATTGGAAGTTTGCTCTTTTTTTGTTGTTGTTTTTTTGTTTTTTTGCAGTACTGGCTTTTGAACTCAGAGCCTACACTTTGAGCCACTCCACCAGCCCTTGTTTTGTGATGGGTTTTTTGAGATAGGTTCTCTTGAACTATTTGCCTGGGCTGGCTTCGAACCGCAATCTTCCTGATCTCTGCCTCCTGGATAGCTAGGATTACAGGCATGAGCCACCAGCACCCAGCAGGTTTGCTGTTTTTCAAACCTCCTTAGGCCGTCTGGAGCGTGTTTCGGTTTCTGACATTGACTGTATGTTTAGCTTTCAGAGTTGTCCATGGAGCCCTGGATTTCTGGGGTTGGGTCTGGTAAACCTGCCCCTTAAAGAAAGCAGCTCTCTTTGTATTTTTTCCTGAATATCTTGATATTTGCTATTTGATTTAAGTCAAAATTATTCCTCTGCTATAAAACGAAGCTGGAAAGCCTATGGTGTGAGACGTGGATTTGCTTAGTGACCTGGGAAGCACCAGTTCCTTATTGCTCTCTATGGAGAGCACCTTGCCAACACGGTCTATTGCACAGGTTCTTATCACTCCTTAAGCCAGCTTCTGATAGCCTTGGCCTAGTAAAAGCTTTTGGCCTGCTAGCCTTACTTCATCCTCCGCAGTTCTTCTGGCCCCAGCTTCCCAGTGAGATGTGTACCTCTGATACCATGGGGGCAAGCGAGTGGCATGGTCATGGGACATTTTTCATAGTAAGTGGGTAAGAAGACATTCTGTTTCCTGTGACCTGAAATACCCTGGTCATATGGATGTGACCCTGCCCACTGCTGAGGGGGTTGGGATGTTGGGTCATGATGCACCTTCGTGTCCTCTGGCTGCCCGCAGTGGGTTTCTGCCTGTTTCCCCAGCATCTCCTAGCATCCCTGTGTCCCCTCTCCTCTTGAGGACATTGTTTCTTTGCTTACACCTTAGGGATGTTAATGACTGCTGAGACCCCCCCAGCTTCCTGCAGACCAGTTATGCTTCTGAACTCTTTCTTGGCCTTCTTCCCTGACAGCCTATTGAGCAGTTGCCATCCACAGTGTGCAGTGGGGTCTTGGCACCCACTCAGGGCCACGCACAGGGCAGGGGCCCACACCCTTCAGGCCGATAGCCTGCCCCGCTGACCAAGCAGCCACTGGTGTTTAGGAGTGAGCACGTGGCAAACAGAGCCAGCCGGTACTGTAGAGGAACCAGGAGGACATGAGGGTGACATGCCAACACAGAAACAGCAGGGAGAGCAATGACTTAAAACAGTGCAGTTAGGAGTGTGGTTCAGGGGCGGAGTGCCTGCCTAGCATGCAAAGGGCCTTGGGTTCCACCCCCAGCACTGCAAAACAAACAAGACCTCCAAAGATGGGTGCAGAGGCCATACTGCCAGCACCCCAGCCTCACCCCACCACGTGCTCAGAAGCTGGGTCGCCCTCCTGGTCTGCAAGCAGGTAGTGTTACCTGTTAGCACCAGGACAGGGCGGGCCCTGGACACCCATGTTCCTCATTCTTCAGAAGCCACCTGCACTCGCACCTGGGGGACACTGTCCTGTAGGCCAGTCTCACTGAGTGAGTCATCGGTGACGGTAGTGTCAGTTCATTCAGCAGAGGAGACAACATGCCACTGCAAAGGCACGTGGTTCGTCGCAGACACTGGTGTGTGCTCTCATGTGAACAATGGGCCCTCAGCGGCTAGCTCACGAGTGGCGCAGGAGTGGTGGCTATGGCCTGACCCTTGCTGGGAGCACGTGCGTCACAGGACCTGAGCTGGGGCGCCTGCAGCCGGCACCTGGCTTTTTGGTGTTTGGGGCCCTGCTTGTCTGTTGCCTCATTTGTTCCTGCCGCAGTCTGTTCTCAGTACTCCCACTGAAGTCTGTCAGCATTGGGGCAGCATTGGGACCACCAGGGTAGAGAGACTGACCTTGGCTGCTGGGTGAATTTCTGAAAAAAAAAAACAATCTTCAAACACAATTCTTTTTGCAGTGCTGGAGATGGGACCCAGCGCCTCACACATGCTAGGCAAGCGCTCTGCCACGGGAGGGTCTGTGTGCTGGGCAGCCCTACCAGGCTCTAGGGCTCCTCTACTTTCCTCTCCTGCAGATGCACAGTCAAGATGGAAGCTCACTTCCCTGGTGTGTTCTGTGACAAACTCTCCTTTGCAGCCACAGCGGGAGCTTTCTGGAGACTAGAATAAACCAGGCAAGTGTGCCTTGGACTAAGATTTGGAGGCACAGCACCAGAAACAGCTTTGGCTTGCCTGCCTTTCCAGCCGAGGAGAAGCGTGTGCTTCCTATGTGTGGAACACCGGGGAATATGCTGTGGTCCTTACACAGGCCACGTGAGGGGACAGAAGGCTGGAGTCTGTGGGCAGAAACAGCAGATGGCCAGG